CGCTTGAGGGCTGACCAGCCACATGCGATAACAAGAAACTCCAGCTCCAGCACAGCCCTTACAATTTTTAGAAAACAGACACAAAGAACGCCTCATGTCACTGTCCAGTGCCAAGGACGGTGTGCTTACTCAATTACCAGAAATCGAAATACGCATGGTCTCCCTCAGAACTCTCCTACCATTGCTGATTGTTGGGCGAGAATTGGTATTGTGCGTGAGAAGACATGATTGCGCTTTAAGGCTTAGGCAGAGGAAGAACACCACAGAGCGCTTACTGTCAACTGATTTAATCCAAGAGCCTCACCGTAGATACACACTGCGTCACCGCACAACGCGGACCGCAAATACACTATCTCTTTTTCTGCAAAGTCGATTGAAACCACGCATGACTGCAGGTGCAAACCATTATTTGCTTCTTCCACTGTTCTCGCTAGGCACAAAGATAAGACTGTTAGAGAGATAACTGAGGCGGACGCCATCAATAGTTCCGGCACGTGTTGTGCATGTGTTTTTTTCTAGCACCCCTGAGGACCACCCGAAAAGGAGGTTAACCTTTCTAATTTGTGCTGAGCTTTGAAAACTAAATTTACACCGAACCTCTTTGCCACTGATATAAAGTTATGAGAGATTCCGATTAAGGTAGTAAGGCACACACACAACATTCTTTACAACCGGTTTTTTTCACAGGAGCCGGATTGAACGTACGTTCCTTACACCTTCAGCACAACTGTAACAATCCCATCCTGGTGTAATTCTTAAAATGGTTGTGAACGAAAATTGAGCTTGGTAGAAGGTATTGTCGGTTTTTATCTAGAAATGCCTGACAGAAGTGGAGCAACAGTCCATTGTCACTCAAAAACTCTGAGTAATTGATTCAAATATTGAATCCGCATCATGGGAGAAGGTGCGATGTGACAACTGTAGACATCAAGGACTTATGTTACTTTATGGATAACTCGGAGCTGTTAATAAGGGTCAGGAGGTGGTGTGATGATAATCTAGTGAAGTTGCGGTCTGCCACTGGGATTGATCTATAGATAGTTTTATCAGCATTCTGGAGTTTCATTTAGAGTCTACTGCCGTAGACTTTGATGGTTCTCTTTTTATTCAAAAACAGGGTGTGCGTATCGGGTCGTGAATCGCTCCAGTGTTGTCCGAGATTTTTTTTTTTTTTTAAACGAGACTTATGTACACGTTGACACGGTTGTGCGGTCCTTGTTGATTGGACTGCACAACCCTGCCATCGCAGCAGTCGAATTAAGTACTTATAGATACTGTTGCACACAGGAAAAGGGCCTGTGTTGGAGGTACGGCAAGGAATCAGCCAAGCCTCTGCTGGCAGCGTCTATGTTGGCAGCTCACAGCTGTCACTTGAAAATAGTTAAGAGTGGTGTAAGTGCGTCTGCGATGGATAACGCCTGTAAAGAATCCCGTATGTTTTGGGTTGGTGAGGCAGTTGACTTGCAAAAGATGCGTCGTCTGGAAGCGGGCCATCACCACGATGTAATTGTTAGAGTTGTGCTCAAGGTGCTGAAGGTTTAATCCGGCTCCTGTGGAAAAACCGGTTGTGAAGAATGGTGTGTGTGTGCCTTACTGCCATGGAATCTCTCATAACTTTATATCAGTGGCAAATAGGTTCGGTGTAAATTTAGTTTTCAAACCTCAGCACAGATTAGAAAGGTCAACCCCCTTTTTGGTGGTATTCAGGGGCGCCAGAAAAAAACATAAGAAACCAAATGTAACTTTTCAGGCAGGAGTGGTGTACGGGACCCTCTCATTTCGTCGAAACTCGTTTCGTGGAATTACGTATTGCAGACAACTTTTCGGGTCCATATCAGAAGAGCGAAGGACATTTTAGCGAAAGGCGACATTTGAGCGAATGTTCGTTTTAGCGAATAACGGGGGCCCGCGTTAACCCATCCGTCGCGCTGCGCTTTACGCCGCTTCGCGGCGACAGTCTACGGCAACTATACAAAAATATGAACTCACTTGGCCCATCCGAAAACGCCGCTTCGCGGCGTCTGACTATTCGCTAAAGTGTCGTTCGATGAAACGTGGGCGTTCGCTAAAACGTCATTCGATCAAGTGAGTGCCTCCCCAACTTTTCATGGGCACAAGTTTCACGGACACACGTTTTGTAGACACGATCGTTTCATCGACAATTGAACGCTGTAGAGAGTCTGGGGACATCTCGTCACGCGTGTATCATTAGTAAGGGTTCTGATGGAGTTGTTGTTATCGCATGTGGCTGGTCAGTCATCAAGCGGGGTCGTCTGGGTGGCAGGTTGGTGTGACCATGAATCATTTGGATCTGTCTGAGTGTCCGGCTTTCAGTGACGTATACACTCTATAAAAAGGGTGTATTCTTACACCTTTTGTCTTCTATAAGACACCCCAACACTTCAGACGTCGATCTCACGGTACTAACTTTCACGAGAGGCTTGATAGCCGTGTGGTACAACTTATTAACATAGCTAATGTATGTGTTACTGACTACAAAAAAGATAATCGAGGTTATCTTGGCCCTACTGCAAAACCTCAGTGCTTTCTTTCTGTGGTCTTTGATACGTACTTTAGCTATTTAATCAGTTATATCGCTCCGTTATCAAGCCCCTTGTTAAATGTATGGCCGTCTGTGCGCCGTGCGTCAAACTAAAGTTATGGGGTGCGTTATATGGGACAAAAGGGTGTATGGTGATACCCTTTTTTAAAGAGTGCTTTTTTGGTGGTGAGGGCCTTGACGTATATATAAGAACGTTCCTTGTTCAAATAAGCTACATCCGTTTTTTCAAGAAAAAAAAGAAAGTTTCGAGCATTTATTTATTTATTTATTAAAGTACCCTCATGGCCCGAAGGCATTACAAAGGGGGAGAGCACATACACGAAACAAAGATGTTCGTGTACGCGACGCAAAGTCTTACGAGATTTGGCTGTCGAAGAAAGAAGCGATGATTTTGGCGCTGGAACGTGTACGTCTTGATAACACATATAGTGGAATCCAGCTACATATATCTTAATTCTCCACATAAAGGTGGAAATTAGTATTGGTTCGCAAGGAGTAGGACTCTAGAGTTCTTGACGTGAAAACGGGCATAAAAGCTGTGTTTGAGACTTGTTGTCTAGTGCGTTATTTTTATCGTTTCGTGTCTCCCGTTAGTATGGAAGTTCTTCACCAGCTCGCCTGTGTTTTTAAAGTGCTATAACGGACTGAACGGTTTTGTAGACCGTAAAACGATTTAATGAAAACTTAGTGAAATATTTTGATACAATAAGCCCGGGCTATATTCGCGTCCGTTATCAGGCTTCTTTCAAACGTATTTTATTTTGATCCACACGCCTGGCTTGTTCGTTTCACGTCGTGTTTCTAGGAGTCCTTCTTTCTCGTTTCCACGCCGGGATCCAGCATCGGGGGTCGAAGTCGAGCTCTCATCCGGTCGAGTCGGAAAGGCTCTCCTTACGGGTCTCTTCCGCCAGCGTGTTTGCTTACACTCCCGAGCTCAAAATCCTTGCGCCCTCGCACATTTTGTTAATGTTGTCATGATCCTCTGTTATGCGTCTAGCCATCGTGGAGGGCGGCGTCGGCGTGATGCGCTTGTAATCGGAGGATCTGCTGCGGTGCAAGGCGAGTTGGTTGAAATCGACGTCAATCGCTGCAGGTTGTTCGTGAAAAAAAGAAAAGAGCTATCGTGCGGCAGCTTGGCGCCAATCCGGTGTGCCTTGCGGGGTAAACCTGGAAATGGTGTAGGTTTGATTGTTCCCGTTGGTGATGACTTAAGTGTTCGTGGAAAAGCAGGCCAAGTTTCGAGGTAGGAAGGCCGTTCGTGTACCATACCCTGTCCCTGACGCTGTATGGAGCTGGTCGATATTTTGCATCGTAGGAACGCTTCATGCCGTGAAGGTAAGCGTGGTTCGCGTTTGCAGCGTCGCAGTTCGCGCGGACGTCACCGACCTCGTCGGGAAGCGGGGAAAATTCCATTGGTCGACGTGGGACAAAGTTGAACAGGAGTTCAAACGGTGATCTCTGGAGTCTGGCGTACGGCTGCTGGTTTACTCGAAAGCTGGTTGCCTGGAGATAATCGCTCCAATGGTCGATGTCGCCGTTGACTTTCTTTCGCGCAGACATGGAAGGATTTTTCCGTTGGCGCGTTCGACAAAGCCGTTAGCTTCGGGAGCCTAAGGTACTGTTAGGGATGCTCTGAATGTGCCTGTCGGCGAAGTACCGCGAAGCCGAACGAGAGGTTAGGACCCTGTCGTTGTCGGTGATGACGGCTTGCGGCGTACCGAATGAGTTCTATAAATCGAAGGACGTGCTCGGTCGACTTGTTCGGCACGGGGCGCGCGACAAGCGCGTGGTGAGGCGGAACGCGGTGATAAAATACCTGTTGCCGTCAATCCTCGTCTTGCGGAGGATCTTGCGCCGCGGCTGCCAGCCGGCGACATATTCTCTTACAAACGAGAATAAACAAGAAGCCGAAGTACCTGATTCTTCTAACGGACGCACTCTTCACAGCGAAGGCAATGCCATACCTCTCCAGAAAAAAAAAAATAAAATAAAAAAGTGTGTTCCTTTTAATGGTATTTGCATCTTGCTTTCCAAATTCAAACGACTCCTTTCTCTCCCCCTCACTCTCTAATTTACACCCCTCCCCCATCCCCCCACCCCTCCCCTCCCTCTTCCGCGCCACGCCGCCGCCGATCCATTGATCCCCGCGCCGTCAACACGCCGCCGCCGGAGGTACACACACCGGCGCGCCGCCGCCGGCGATTTCTGACCGGCGCACAGGTCTACTACATTGACCCTGCCCTACCCTACACTTTTCTGCACTTCCTTCTAAATCGAATGCGCGTACTGTTTTGAAATATTTTGCGTCGACGTCCACCACAGCCCTGCAAAAACGCAATTTCATCGCATGTTACAGTAGCTAGATGGCGCAAGTCTTCGCCCAATTCGAGGTTTTCTGTTTTAGTGGTATTTTTTTCTCCATCATTAATCCCAGAGCAACTTTCAGCTGCTGCCCGTGGTTGGAGTTGGAGCGGGTGGTATCACGTCTCTCACCGAAGGATTCTGAATTTCTCTTTCAACAAACAGGTACTGGTCTTAGCACATCTCGCAGGTAACAGGACTAAAAAGTCACGCACGCAAAGATTACCCGAAATCCGGATCCTGCGAGCTTTGTCTGCGCTCCTTGGGACTATACGTTTTCTCCTGCTCGCGAGAGATAATAATAATAATAATAACATTAATAATCTTTATTTGGGCTTGTCCAGTGGTGCGGATGCAGCATTTTATGCACTGAAGGCCCGCCAGAAATGAGCAACTCGTATGAAGCAGTAGCCTGTTTTCAAATGGCGTCATTCACATAGTCAGGTTAATCATAATTTTGAGCACACTGCATTACCGCGGGTTTTATATATAGACTCGGTGCGTTCAGGAATGTCCCGAACCAGAACACACGATGACAGCCGAGAATTTGAGCTTTCCAGCAGAGTAGGTTATTAGTCAATCAATCTATCAATCAGTCCTTTATTTGCCAAAAATTCTTTTAGTGGCGCATCTGCGCACGGCTAGCAGATTAGTCTAATCCGTGCGCAGGGGCGCCTACTAGCCAACGTCCTGAGCACACGAGGCAATACAATGAAGGATGAAGTTTTGGTTCAAGCGAAAATGGAATAAATTTACAAATAAAAGGGGCAATGTACCTATAGGTGCGGAAGAACATGCAAACGACTTCTAGCGAAACCGCCGAGGTTGTTGGTCGTCTGAGCCAGAGGCGTGCATCTGTGCCCAGGGAGGGGGTCTGCATTCCTGCTACGCTTTGCTGCAGACTACGCCAAAATGCGACAGGCCTGGAGCTCGAGTGTTCGGCAGCGCCTCTGGCCAGTACATAGAACATTTTTAGGTCGCGTTTCGATTCTGCATCATTACACTCCCCTACGTTGCTCACGGACGTTATGAAAGAAAACGGAAGTCGTGAAAAGAATGTAATCTTGGCATTTCGATCAAATGCTGAGGCTACGAGGTGCATATTTTTGTTTGTTGGTTTTTCATTTTCATAAGCCACATTTACAGGAATGCGACACTAGCACATTGACTCCAGTTATCACATTCAGAGCTGTGATATAAGTAACATAGTGTGCTAGGGAAGCACCCCGCATTCGGCCGAGGTGGATTGAGGTCGCAAATGCACATTCCTTTCGGAATGGGAAGGATTATAAGAAGGCACTTGATGCAGGAGCGAGTGAACCGCTCAGAACAGTGCAAAGTCAGTCTCATTGGCGGCGGCGGGGAGTGGTATTGGGCGCTGTCCCGAGTGTTGCTCGCAATTTTCTCTTCAGAAGAAAAGCAAGCTTTTATTGCCATCGTACGTGAAATGAATAGAGCTGTGCTGCCCGGTGAGGGTAGCCCCCGTCCAGGCCTTGGGAATTGCGACTTGCACTTTGGAGGGAGTCCCTAGAGGCTCCAGTGTTAGCAGGGACAGCACCAAGAGCTTTGAGCACTGGTGCTGCGGAACAAGCAGCCCCCACCACGGCGCCGTTCCTGCCTGCGCCGAAGCCTCTTGGGGAGCCGGCTGTAGTTGGTGCGGTTTGGTGAGGCAAGGCGCGGCGGTGTTTTGCGAGCAGCTGGGTTCGATCCCCGTCCACTTGGCGACTGCGCTCGTTGCCGAAATTCGCCACGCACGTGGCTATTAATTCAATTGCATTTCCCTCTGCTCCTTTTTCTGCAGGGGTGGTCTGATGCCCTCCTGCATTCTTGCTGTAATGCGGTAATTTCATGACTGTGCTCTGGTACATTCAGTTCTTGAAGCCTCCCACCGGTGCCAGGGGGGCCTCCGTTGTGGTCACCTTGGGGGAGGGGGTTAGTGGGACATATTTTAACAGGCAGCTTGCCTTTAAACTAATGACATGCACATGCCTCCAAACCAATCGCTGACAAAGCGTTCTGCGGTGTCAGCGTTTGGCTGACATAGCCGAGTGCTACGTCAGAAACACGCCCAAATAATTCATGTTGTACCTATGGGTTTGATTCTCAACTTCGCTGCTAGGTGTGCGACAGTTGGATCTACACCCTAGAGGGGTCTCACACTCAGACCCCCCGTTGAAATCTAGGGGGTCTGAGATTTCCCTTGACTTTAAGCACTGGGTACATTGCTCGTTTGTGTCGAACTGGGTGGTGCCAGGGGTGGAGCTCGGGATGCTTGGGTTCTGCAGTGCGAGATATCATTCTGCGTGCAGTGAGCTACTGTGCACTGTGCCACTTAGCCACTGATTTTAGGAAATGGCGTTCAATGAAGCAGCTTTGCTCAAGCTGCGTTCAATGAAAAGTCGAGTCCACTACCGTTAATAACATCGGTAGTGTAGTTATCAATTTGTAATGCATGTTAAAGAGCCTTGCTTAGCAATTGTATTGCTCTTGCCAAAGTGCCCTTCAGCAGCGTTGAGGTGGTGTTGCTTGTGGCCTCTAAGGGCAGATGGATCATGGTTTCTGCTGGTTTATCTTGACCGGGGAGAAGCATTTTATTCAGCGTTTCATGTCGACTTTACGACAGTCGGCTCATTTAGTACTTTGAAAAAAGATTGTTGTTTTGTATGTGTAAACACTGCCTAAAAATGTGTTTTGGTACAACGGCTTGTTTTACAGCAATGCTCTGAAACTGCCAAGCGATTTGTGTTGGTGCAAAATTTGGTTTAAAGGGCAACTTTGGTCAAATTTCGATGATGAGAAAACAATGCAGTCCAACATCGCATCATCTGAAAAGCCTACATGTAAAATGTTACGGCACAGTCCTGCCTAAAAGTTTATTAAACCGGCCAACAATGTCGGAGCGGCTCCACGGTCACGAAGATCCACCAAATCTAGCGAGCGACGTGCGGTGCGCGGAGCAGCGCAGTCAACGCGTCAATTCCATTGTGTTGACACAGTCATGAAACACTGTGTGGAATGTCAACAACTGGAAGAATTGTTTTGCTTGTTTCTTACTTTTTAAGGTGCGGAGTGCGAGGGCAAAAGAGAAAAAAGAGAGCGTGGGGCGCCGTCTGCCGCTTTCGTTGATGACATAGCCGACGTCTTTGTACAACGTGATGTCCATAAGTTAACGCGCAGGACCAATGTTGCCTACTGTGGGCAAGGTTTCAGTTTCACTTTGTGATTTTTATTTAAACGAGGTTTGCAAGAAAACTATTTAGTTTTTCGAAAAACGAATGACATAGAACCATTTATTAGTAGTTTTGAAATGATAATCACCCGTAATCCCAGAATTTTCAAAATTTCCGGAGTTGCCCTTTAACTGATCGGATGATTACTGTGCTAGCAGTGCAACAGAAAAAACAAACAGGTTGTTTTTTAACCTACCTTCAAATGCCAACTCAGATGGCACAAACTACCATTCAGAAGAATCAGAACTAGGCACGCAGTTATTGCATTTTCTCGTTCATTCATCATGATAATCTCAAATAGCAACATTCTGGGTATTTCTTCTGCATTTTATCCTCAGCTGTCTAGTTAGCTTGATGCTCCTCAAGGTTCCACTCACTTTGTTCTTAATTAGTGCCATTGATCTTTGCGTTTGGTCCCAGGCATCTCAAGTGGTCCTGTGCATTCTCCGTGACCTTCTTAAGCCTTCTCACGGGCCTGGTTGCAGACGGCTATTTCTATGGAACTGATTCAGTCCTCAAGTCGTAAGTTCTTTGTTTCAACATGTTCTATAAACACAGAACAGTAACGGTATCTAGACTGCAGGCAGTCATAGTCTGGAGCTAGTGGTTTATCCAGGAATTTTTTTCGGGGGGGGTGGAGGGGGCTGAGGTGGCTGGAATGTCCATGATTTGAGGTGCAGAGGGGGGGAGGGGGGCTAAATGTATGTGTATATTATAGGTAGGGCTCCGTGTTTTCGGAATTCATTTTTCATGAAATTTGGAGGGTGTTTTTCGGAGTTTATTTTTCGTAAATAAGATTAATTTTGCAGTGTTTCCTGTTAAAAAATTATAAATAATAACTGGATGCAAACATATGGCAGATAAAAACTAAAACACACTTGTATCAATTAAGATGTCTTGAGTTGATTTTGGCATTGGTGCCATTGGCAATACTAATTTGTCCCACGACAAAAGTCGCACACAAGTGTGGCTTCGATAAACGTCGATACCTAAAAATCATTAAACTGCCGGTGTTAGCTACAAGGAAGCTCGTATTCATCCCATCAATCTATCCTGTGGCCACGCGATTTGGAGTGGTTCAGGATGTAATAGAGAAGTTTCAACTGCCCCTCTTCCCTATTTTATACAATCTCTATGATCAATAGCTTTCACTGTTACCCCCCGAAACATACCCTCTCCTTTCTCTAAATCCCAAATCCCATGGCCCAAACTGGAAACCAAAAGAGTGGCTTTTGTCGCGACACAAATGGTATAATGACCTGTTTCCCTGAACCAACCTTGACGAGACAAGCCGTAAGACCCCTTTTGACAACGGTCCGAGGCTAGAAAGGTAATTATGGTGTCATTTTCCCAGGACCATTGACCCTGCACTGCCCAAATTGGGAAGGGGGGGGGGGTGGCATGAACACATAACAATACAGAGTTTATCGGATAAATCCGAATTGACAAAAATTTTACCGGCGGGTGTTTTTCAGAGTTTTTCGGATTTATCTAAGAACAGGGAGCCCTAACTATAGGGTCGGCGGGATTTCGGGGGGGGGGGGGGGGGGGGGGGAGCTGAAGCCCCATAAGCTTCCCCCCTGGCTATGTCATTGTCTAGAGCAGCACTTCTTGTACAGCTGTCAATAGACTTCTAGGGGTTCATGCCGATTTGGAGATCCTCCACCAGAGACGCGTCCTCAGCGCAGCTCAGAGCCAGATGAAAGTTTTTCTGGGTGATGGGTCGTGCTTCAAGGTGAGGCAAGCAGCGAAAAAGGAATTTCAAGAGAGGCTCATGCAGTGGAGAACGAAAGTTGGGCAATTTTAATGTTGGGTTCCTTGTTTGTGCACATGGCCTCCCAGCATTGCCTTTTTTACGCTGGTGCATGTTGGTCGCCTGCTGGTCAAGTCTGGATGTTTGTATGGATGGACGCTAACGACTGTACCCTTTCTAGTGAGCAGTAGCTTGCGCCACTTAGCCTAGAAACCAAAACAAAAAATATTCCTTCCCCCTTCTAAGCAAAATTCTTTCCCTCTTTATTACTGTAATCGTCACCAGGCAGTGTGGGATATCGCCATGATAATCATTGGGGGATCGGGCAAAAAACTAAAAAACACAGCCTCTCACCTTCTCACCTTGGTGAAGGAGTTGCCATTTCTTTGGTAAAACCTTGTCGGCAAACACATAAATGCGTGGAATAAACAAGGAGCAGAACTCGGCTCCTCCTTTGTTCTGTGCATTTTTATGCTTGATTTATGCTGATTGAAGCCTATTTCTCAGACGTCCTTCAAGATACATGGTGTAGCCAACCACTGAAAGAAAGCAGATGACACACAGACAAATTCTGTAGCCAGCAAAAGTGCCGTCGCTACGCAACCACATTTTTAAAATTTCTTTTTTCACTCCCATTGTCCGCACCTATTTTTAGTCCAGAGGTACATTTTGAAAAGATTACGTTCACTTTAATTGACCACGGTCATTGCGAACAGTCTCGATAAGGAGGTGTGCCATCTATCAATATGTGCGCCAAATGCGTCCTGCAACTAGATTCGGTCATCTGCGTTGCCAGCCGCCGTTGATTATTGCAAGTATTTGGCCCTGTTTTTTTTACAGAAAGGGGGCTAGGCTTTGTAACTTTACAATATAAAACCGTCCCGTGAAAGTTAAGATTGGTACCAGCGGGTGTAGATTTTTACGGCCCATTTTAGATCGAGCCTCGTCATTTCACACACCCTATACATGAGAATGCAAAATAATTTTTGTGTAGTTATAGAGACATGACACAGGACACCAAGAATGGAGAGCTGGCGATGACAATATGTGCTAAATATGACACGAAACTACCAGAGGGATAAGAACCAGAACGGCGATTGCGCGTTTGGTGAGCATTGCGGTGCCATTTCTTTACACGCGCTTATTTTTGACTACTGACCTTGAAGGTGTTGCACTTGGCTGGAGAAGAAGGAAGTAAAAAAAAGGAGGAAAAGGTGGATCAGGGAGAGGATAGAAGTGAATAGGGGGATCTAGGGATGAGGGGGAAAGTCAAGGAGGTCCCCCGGGGATTTGTTGTGGGTATTGTTTTGGGAATCGCACTTCTTTTTTCCCGAAATGGTCCCGGCAGAAAATACCCGATGCCTTGGAGGACTCGGCGGGTGGGATGGGGTTTGTTTCTTTTTTTGAGTTGCCTGCAACAATAAACATTTAAGCGTACTACATTCATAGTTTGGATTTCAAATAGCTGCTTTCTTAGCATTTTGAATTTGGGTTCGTTCAGTGTTGGAACTGCTGCGCCATTTGTGCCAAACTGCGCCAGAACGAGCAACCTGCCGCATGCTGCTCCAAAGGCTGTATTTGCGCACAACTGGTGCCGTGTCTGCGCCAAAAGGGAGCTGTTCTCGAAAAAGGAAACTGAAAGTGTCCGACACTTGTCATTGTTGGCGATGCCACTAAAAATTTTGAAAGTACACTTGTTGTTTTTTTGGATGCCTAAGTGTGATGTGCGAAGGGTAGTGCTGTGTGAATATTTGAATTATACGCTATTTGATATTCGCTTCAAAATTAACTGCAAGATCCACATTTTTTGAAGTGTTGATTGCTGCGGGTTAGCCCCCTTAAGTGCGCTTCTCCTCAAACACCAGTGTACTGCAGCATTTTTTAAAGTGTTGATCGCTGCGGAAGTGCGCTTCTCCTCAAACACCAGTGTACTGCAGAGGAGCAATACCCGCAGAGTTGACACCCCAATCTCGTGACTCGCTTTGTCGCATCAAAGCCACTTGCTTGGGCGAAAAACACACTTTCAAAGGGGTCTGGTGCATGCACGCACCTGGTGTAATAAAAAAAAACACAAAAAACAGGAAACATTGAAACGTGATTGTTGATATTTACATTGCAGTAAAATCTTCGAAATTTAACTGGGCTATTATGCAAGCGTATATGTTAGGCAGCTATATTCTAACAACATGTGTTTATTATTTGTGCTTATTTTTTGTTCTTTTTAAAAATCAGAATTGAAGAAAATATTTCTATATAGCAAGAAGATTCATAAACCGCCTTAATTAAGTCTGGTTGGACTCCTTATGAATTAATTTTATGTCAAATCTGTCATTTGCTTGCCATCCCAACATAGGTATTGGACTTTTGAGGCTACAGTGTATAAATATAGTTACATTAAATTTAACAGATCTCATGAGTGGGCAATTAGGAGCTTGGGAACAACCTTTGGGAGTTCAGCTGAATTTTCATTTATGCATGGTGTAACAGTAGCGAAAGGCATAGAGAAAGGTGCATCAGCCATTCACTATTCAATTAAAAAAATATTTGGCCAAAGCGACTATTCACTTTGAATTTGCTTCGAACCCAAAATTCATTTGCACATGCCTTACGATGGGTTATCGGTTTTTGTGCAAACTGTACTCGCATCATTTGCAATGAATAGCTAGCATTATTCATTGTGATTGGCTAGAGTAGCTGTGTGCTCCGCTTAGCTGCTCTTTGAACAGTAGCAGGTGAAATACGAGCAAGAACAGCATGATATGAACCCTACAAAGTAGCCAAAAACATCTTTTTACGTCAAACACTGACTGAAGACGCCATCGGTATTAGTAATAGGGTAATCGAGACATCTGCAAAATTATCGCCATATATTGTTCAATATATAAATAAATATCTGTAGCGGCTAGGTCCCCTGTAGGTATGACACTTGAAATAGTCTCCCACCATTCCAATAACTGCAGTTTTTTCCCCAGGCTAACTTTCAGAGAGATAGTATAAAATTGTTTGGTCTGAAAGCTCAAAATTGTTTTCTCCAAGCGTAGGAATCTCTGCTCCAAAACCCATTTTTCTTTGCTACAAGAGCTGCTCCAAATCACCACTTGTCAGTTACACCACTGTTTTTTTTAGTCACTTTATTTCACTGTGTGAATTTTAGTTTCTTTGGGATTGGGTCAATTCTGGATAAAAACTTATTTCCCAAACTTGTTTGAAAAGGGCTGCTCTTTTCTCCACTTACAAATCACCATGGTGTACTGGGTTAAAGCTATTAAAAATATTGACCTCCTTAATTAATATTGCACCCACTCACAACAAATCCTGAAACGGCACTTCTAAATCTGTTAGAACCCCCAATGCACGGGAAAGGGGGTATCTCGTTCCCATTCGTCTGCTAATCAGTAACAAGAAGCGACCTGCATTTAGTCAAACATTTATTCGTTTGTCAAATAGTGAGTGTCTCTTTTCTACACTTGCCAAAGGGAACGAGTCCCCACAACAAATCTCTGGGGGACCTCCGTGACTGCAACGCGACCCCTCTTTCCTTTTCCTTCTCGAGCGTAGTGAGACACCTTTGAGATCAGTACCCATCATTGTGCCAGTGGGCCTACTGGAAATGGGCCGTTGGCCGGGCGTAGCTCAAGGACGGCGGCCAGCTGCGGGCCGGTGAGAAAGCCCCTGGGTGCCGGATCTGGCCCGCGGGGCGGGGTTTGGAGGCCCCTGATCTAGAGCATGTAAGAGAAACAACATGCACTTAAGCAGGCTCGGTGATGTTTATGCTAATAGAACAGTTATGGAGTGAACTGTATTTAAGTGCTTTTATGAAGCAAAAAACTTTTAGCCTTTCCACTCCGGTGAAGAAGGAAGACGAGCGGAGCTGTACCATGGAAAGTAATGGCTGGCCGCAAGTCGGCAAGCCAGAGCGGAAAGGCTGCCGCCATCTATGAGCGACGGCGGCAACCAGATACGTGGCTTACCGCCGTTGCTCATAGATGGCGGTAGGTCTCCAGGGGTCGGTGTCTTCATTTCTTTGCGGGGGACATGATCCTAGGGAAACTAGCCCTTAACAGCTCCGCTGTAAAAGAAAAGGACAGCGACATATGAAACCAGTCAGCTGAAGTCTGACTTCAGTAGTCGCTACTTATTTTTAAACTTATTGTCCTGGTTTGGTTTTCCTTGTGTTTCCTTACACACATAAACTCTTTTAGGTGATGAAGCAGCACAGTTGGTGGAGACCAGCTGCCCTCTGAAAGCCACCGAGGACATCTGGTTCAGATGCTGTTCCTGCACTTACTTCACCAAAGATCAGCATGGAATTGTGAGCCACCTGGTTGTCCATGGTGATGAACAAGTCAAGTGCCACCATCTCCCCGTGCCTCCCAGCTCTAGGTCCATAGTGCACGCCAACACTCAATTGCACAGAGGTGATAAGTTCTTTAAGTGCAAACTGTGTCCTCTATCCTTCGCTCGAAATGCCTATTTGACCCGTCATAATCGAACTCATACGGGTGAAAAGCCTCATAAGTGCAAGCTGTGCCTCCATGCCTTTACTAACCGTAACCATCTGGTCGAGCACAATCGAATACACACAGGTGAAAAGCCATTCAAGTGCGAGCTGTGTCCCCAAAGCTTTGCTCGGGGGTCTGGTCTGACCGATCATATTCGAACACACACAGGTGAAAAACCATTCAAGTGCAAGCTGTGTCCCCAAAACTTTGCTCGGAGGTCTAGTCTGACACATCATCTTCAAACACACACAGGTGAAAAGCCATTCAAGTGTAAGCTCTGTCCTGAAGCCTTTGCTCGGAAGTGCAATCTTAGAAACCATAATCAGAAACACCACAGTGAAACACCTTATAAGTGCAGGGTGTGTTCCCAAGCCTTTGGTCAATTTAGCAGTCTTATCCACCACAACCAAGCACAAGGTCACAATCCATTCAAGTGCAAGCTGTGTCCCCGAGCCTTTGCTCGGAAGTCCTGTTTGACCCGTCATATTCGAACACACACAGGTGAGAAGCCTTATATGTGCAAGCTGTGCCCACAAGCCTTTTCAAGGAGTTCCAGTCTAAATCGCCATAATCGAACACACAGTGATTAAGAGCCTTACATGTGTAAACTGCACCCCCAAGCCTTTGCTAGCAGTTCAAATCCGATCTGCCATAATTGAATGCATGGTAGTGAAAATCCTTAAGAGCACAAACAATGCCCCTTAGCTTTTTTTTTTTTTTTTTGCTGGGAATAGAAGTCTGATCTACCACACTGAAGTGCACGTCTTGAAACACACATTTGTGAAAACCCTTACGATTCAAATGTAAGTTGAGCCTTCCATGCTATATAATGTGTGTAATCATTCATCTCATGTAGAATTGTATGCTATTTCAAGTTAAATATTTAAGTGCGAGCAATGTCCCAAAGTCTTTGCTTACATTAATAGTAAAGGTTGCCACATTGAAGTGCATATGTGCATAAAGCCTGTCGAAAACATTTTCTAAATTGTTTTGTTTCATCAGGCATGCACCAACACATGAGGTTGACAAATTTAAAGGAGTTGTGCGAGAATTTCTGAACTTCAGTGAATTTCGAAATTAAGTAAATGAAGAACAGAAGACCACCTTCCTTGTACGGAATGGTGGTTTTTATCTTAAAATAAATAAATAAAAGTTTGGACTTTGGAGTACCTCTCAACTCTCTTACTGTCTTTTGAGTGACGTCACTTGGAGAACTACTTGGTTTCCCACTGGGCTCTGCCTTCAGGGCCCTAGCACTCCCTTCGCAATTTATCAAAGATTGGCATCGACGAGGGTCGCTGCGAGCGGTCAAGGAAAAAACGCGGTTCACCACGGGGCTGAGGGCCAGAGGGGTGGTTATTATTTGGGCCCGTTCTCGTTTTGACCTTCTTGTTCGGGCTTTCTCAAAAGGCCCTTCTCGGTCGTGGCCTCTGCATTTGATCCATTCTCGTTACATCCTTCGTGTTTCATCTTCCAAGAAAAAAAAAAAATAAAATCGGGCCACTTCGAGGTGTCGGCGTTACGGCTCGGTCTCCGCGTATCCCCGAAGAAGCTTCTTCAAGTCCACCCTGTTATCAATTTAGCCTATCTCCAATATAATTTATTTTTGAAAATAAATGACGTCTTGACAACTGGGTTTTTGGTAATTAAAGAAACATTAGGTTTAGTATTCTCGATAAAATTTTAGGTTTCATGACGGACACTATTGGTGGTCGCGTACCACCATCGCACAGTGCTCTTGCTCTGAGTTCCGCAGGTAGGCTGGCGCATAGTTCCCTTGCGCGGCTTGGTCTCGCCCATGGCTGTAACCCGATGCTGCATCCGGTCTGACGTCAGCCAGTCTCACCTTCACGGAATTCACGTGCGAGACCTTGGTGCCGAGCTAGAATAAATCACAATCTTCCGAGAACACAACCTTGTGCCCAACGAAATAAAAGAAAAGGGCAGCACAGAATGGCGCTCGCTTGGAATGCGCTTGGCAAAATAAAATAAAAGGGCCAAAACAGAATGGCGCTCACTTACATTTGGGCATCCTGGCATTGTTAACGTCCTTGTTAACGACAACGAAAAGCAATGCTTATGCAAATTAAGAACGATGAATCTTTCACGTTTCTTAATAATAATAAAAATATGAATACACATGAATGGACACTACATATAAGTGAACAGCACAATGAATGCATCAAAGCTTCAATGGACGTTATGCAACAAAAAACAACATCAACAAAATCAATACAAGCAAAAAGTAATATGTTTCAAATGTGCTCACTTCGGAGTTGCACACTTACGTGCAGAGCGCCTCGGGAGCCGAACGGTGACTTTCTCCCTGGTGGATTCTGCTTCTTCTGACGATGATGTGTCGTCTTCCAAGTCTGTTTTCTTTGTTGTCGACGTCCATTCCTTCAACTGGGAAACATGCGCCGTAGTTGCGAATCTACTGGCCTTGGTCTTGTCAAGCTCAGTGACGCGATATGTGTCGGATGGAAGAACCTGCGTCACAACCAAAGGCCCTCTGTACTTTGCTTAAGCCTTCATTGGCTTGCCTGTTGGTTCAAAGGCTCTTCTCATGAAGACTATGTCTCCGACATCGTACAGTCGCGCAGGGAAGTGTCTTCGGTCGTATGCGGTTTTCAGTTTTTCTTGTTCCTCAACGAGGTACTGTCGCACCTGTTCCCGCATTTCCTTGGGGTCTTGCCACACCGGTTCCTCAGCTTCGACTAGCCATTTTAATGCGGTGTTGTGAAAGTCTGGTTGATATCAGTGTAGCATCTCGAAGGGGGTCTTTCCCGATGTTTTATTCACGGAGTTCAAATTACCCTCAGCTAAATTCAGTTTTGCGTCCCAGTCGCGCTGCTGGGGGTCTGTCATGGAGATTGTGATGACAGGCAGTACAGTCCTGTTCACCGTCTCCACTTGACCGTTCGCTTGTGGGTGTCATGTAGAATTAAGCACGTGGTGTGTGGCTCGTACACTGCAAAACTCCTCAAATGCCCGAGTAGTAAAACGACTTCCCCTGTCTGTGATTAGGGTTCTCGGGAGGTTTCTTTCCAGGATAAGCTCCTGCAGAGCCCGCAGTGCGCGCTTGGTCGATGTGTCGCGCGCTGCGAAGAGTCTCACAAATTTTGTTAGGTTGTCAATGATGACAAGTAGGTATTGTTTCTGCTTCTTACTTTGCATGAATGGACCCATGTGATCTATGGGCACCACCTCAAATGGTTGCGTGCCTGGTTGTATGGGGTTAAGGAGACCTTCTCATCTGCCAGCAGGTATCTTGTTGAAAATGCACTCAAAACACTGTGAAATGTGCTTCCGAACGTAGTTCCGCATTCGCGGGAACCAGAAGCTCTCATGATTCTGGGCGACTGTTCTGTCAAGTACGAAGTGACCCATTAAGTCATAGGACTGCACCACTACAGCCTTCTGCGTACACTGGGGCAGCGCAAACTTGTACTTTTTCTTGCCGTTCTGTTTGATTACTCATCAGCCTATCATTCTTCAGAATGTAGTTGCTCACTTTCCCCTTCTCCTGTTCAGTGCGACAATGTTCCGGTTTTTCTAGTATGGTCACCAGTTCTCGTAGCTCCTCATCTCCTCATCGAAACGCTAGCACTTGGTCTGCAAGGTCGCAGGTGAGGCAGACCTCGAAGTGGTCCTCAAGGACAGAGTCCATCGGATTCACCGGCTCTTCCACTGGGCATCAGATAAGCGAGTCCACATGAAGCATCCGTGATCTGGGACGGTGCCTCATTGAAAAATCAAACTCCTGGATCAAGTCATACCACCTCGCAATCTGGGGCTTATGTGTTCGTTGTGCATTAAGGTACACCAGAGCCTGGCAGTCAGTCACAATAATAAAATGGATGCCAAGTAACAATGGTTTAAGCCGATCCGCCGCCCAAATGATAGCCATCGATTCGAGCTTTAATGAGATAGTTGCCCTCGGCGTCGGTCATTTTCTTGCTTATGTAGTAGACAAGGTGCCACTCGTCGTCTTTCTGTTAAAGGAGCATTGCTGCCAGTCCCTTTGCACAGACGTCTGTATGCAACTGCGTCTCCACATTCGGGTCGTACAGTTGAACTACAGATTCACATGTTAGTCTTGACTTAAAAACTGGAAGCTTTCCTCTTGCTCAGGGTTCCACTCAAGCTTTGCATTCTTCTTGGTGAGTCTTGTGAGGGGTTCAGCGATTAACGCATACTTCGGGACGAAGCGTCGAAAAAAGCTCGTCAGCTCCAAAAATCGTCTGACATCATGACGGTTTTTTGAGACCGGGAACTCTGCAATTGCCCGTACCTTAACTGCGCCGTGTTGCACCGCTCCGTTCTTCAGTCAAAAGCCCAGAAAATCCACACTGTCTCTTCCAAAAGTGCATTTGCTCAGGCGAAGAGTTAAATTCGCCTTTCTGAAAGCTTCCAGAATTTCGCGCAGTTGCGTGACGGTATCACCCGCTTTTTTGATGGAATCAGCACATCATCAAGGTAACACATAGCAATCGTCCCCTTCAGCGGCCCCAAAACGTGGTTCATAAGACGCTGGAAGATGGACGGAGCATTCGTGAGTCCAAACATCATCCTCTCAAATTGACCTGTCTCGTCCGGAGTGATGAAAGCTGTCTTCTTCGCATCGTCACTCAAGGGCACCTGAAGGTAGCTGTGAGCGAGGTCTAGAACTGTGTACATCCCTGCTCCGGATAGTCCTTCTACTCCTGCTCCGGATAGCCCATCAATGCTTGGTAGAGGTTATTTTTCTTTTGCGGACTGGGCGTTCAATTGTTGATAGTCCAGAACTAGACGCTTTTCTCCGTTCTTCTTTTGAACAAGGATCATGGGACTTGCGTAAGCGGAATGCGTCTCGCTCACAATCCCCTCTCGTTTCCATTCGCTGACAATCTCGCAAATCGTTTCTCTTTCTGCCACATAGGTTCAGGAAGGCCAAACCGCAACTGGTGAGCTTCCCGGCACTTCTGGGATGTCCATTTCAAGGATTTTGTGCACCTAAGCTTGCTCGAGTTCGTAGTGAAGCACTCCCGAATCGCGATACTCATTCAGGAGGTCAAGGAGCTCATTCTTTTGCCCCTCGGTCACCAACGAACCTACTTCGACCTGATTCTTATCTATCGGCTTCCAAATTGCCGTGGTGAAAACTCCCTGTTTCTCGGTTTCGTAACTCTCTTCTTCTTGGTTTCCTTGGTTGTCCTCCTCGTCGAATGTGTTTACAATGTCGACCGCAGTGATACGTTCAAGACGCTGTCCCTTTTTAATGGCAACATCGTTATTTCCGTTTGGAAATACTGGAAGAGCAATCTCTCTGTCTTTCATGTCGAGAAGAATTTCTTTTCCACAATTGTGGAACAGAACGGGGCCAGTGACATCAGATTCTGATGACAGCGTGATCCAGTTTACCACGTTCGCCTGGAGGGTGGACCTTTCGGTTGTCTTTACAATCAACTTGGGATTGTTGCTCAAATGTTCGAGGTAAGAGAAAGGGCACTGACTCTTGTGCCAAAAGCGTAGACATCCGCCCAGCCTAGCTTAACTCGCGTAAGGTAGCTCGGTGAAAGTTCGACCAACGAGCAGGTCGACCGACTGGGCTTCGTCTGGTACAACAAAAAGTGTGATGTCCTTCCCAGTAACACCGTCAATCTCCAAGTCTGCTTTGCATTTACCAATTGACGTTACTGCCGGGACGTCCCGGTTTACAAATCCATAAAGAGCTGTTATGTCTCTCATCAGCTCAGCACTGCAACGCACTGCCGCAGGCGCGCAAGAGAGGCAACTTCCGGTGTCAATCATTCTAATGAGCTTTTTTTCGCCGTTCCATGTGACTTGCCTGAGGAGCACTTCAGAAAAACTCCACTCTTTTGAGTTGCTTACGGTGTTGGTCTCACTCCTTGGGGCTCTTTCGATGAAGTGACGCTGAGTGTGCCTGGTTTTTCCACAGCTCAGGCACTTTAGTAGGCGCTTTCGCTCTGGACAGTCGCGCACGATGTGACCAAACTGTGAGCAGTTGTAGCACTTACACTGCCCCTTTACGTTGTGTATTGGTGATGTCTTATCCTTGTTGTTTCTCTCGTCAAGTTTTCTTGACAGACGTCATACCCGCGTCTCGATTTCGCGGTGTGTCGGTAGCAGCCTTTTTGTCACGCTGTCCACTGAAGCGCTCTTGTCGATCCCGATCGATTCTTTTGAATTGCTGTATGTTGTGTAGGAGGTCATCACCGTCCTCGTGTGTTCTGCCCATTAACATGGTGCGCACAGTTGTCTTGATTGCAAGCCGGCCAGTACTTGCTCGCGAGTATCGCAGAAGTCGAGGTTTGCCTCTCCACAAAGACTGATCTTCGAGTGGAAGTAGGCGATCGTGCTCTCATTTTGCTGCTGGACGCGGTCTTGCATTCTTCTCCAGCGTTCCACTGCTCGGGTCTGGCTAACGAATGTTTGTTGAAACTGGTGCTCGAGATCTTCCTACGACACAATTTTTGCATAGCGTGAGCGTAACCAGTATTTGGTAGCTTCTGTGAGATGCGATTTTGCCGTCTCCAGGAGGAAAGGTGTCGACCACTTGTGAAGAGTCGCCGTCCTTTGTAGGTTCTCAATCCACTCTCGCGCAGCTGCTGCGTCCTTGCTTCTGTCGAAGTTGGATATGTTCTTACTGAGGTCAGGCATTACCTGGAACGTCGGCACGCCGCTCACTTCCGCTGCTCCTGACTGCGCCGGAAGGGCAAGTCGTCCCAAGAGGTCCGTTAACAAACAATACTTTCCTTGAATCATTCCCAAGAGCTCACGGAAACAAAACTCGTCTCCCAGGGAATGAGCAATTTCAGGCGAACCTGCCTGGTTTGGAGATGCTCCTGATGCTTCTTGGTTCATGGTGAAGCGTTGAGCTGTAGAAATGCAATTACACCCAGCACACAGGCCCGCACAATCAATATAAAGCGATAACATAATACACTACATCTCATACGGAAACTGAAAACTCCGTTGGTAAAGAGTTCCACCAGGAGATGAAACGTCAGACGGTACCTAATCCTTGAGTTCCGTGCAGTGAGGAGCCCCCAATCGTAGGCACTCACACGCACGTCGCCCACCTGTTGCTCTGTGGGTCGCTCCAACCGGGTTCTGATCGCACCTGACTTGTCGATCCAGGGTCCGCGGGTTCGGATGCCTGAAAGCACTTGTTTGCTTGTGTCACTCTTCAATCCTTTCGTTCCGAGGAGTTGATTGATAATCCCACTTCTGATATGTTATAAAATTAGTCTATCTCAAATAAAATATATTTTGAAAAGAAACGAGGTCTTGACAACTGGGTTTTTGGCGATTAAAGAAACACTAGGTTTAATATTCTCGATAAAATTTTAGGTTCCATGACGGACACTATTGGTGGTTGCGTACCACCATCACACAATGCTCTCGCTCTGAGTCCCACAGGTAGACTGGCGCATAGTTCTCTTGCGCAGCTTGGTCTTGCCCATGGCTGTAACCCGATGCCGCATCCGGTCCGACGTCAGCCAGTCCCGCCTTCGTGGAATTCACGTGCGAGACCTTGGTGCCGAGGAGTTAGAATAAATTACAATCCTCCGAGAACACAACCTTGCGCTCAGTGAAATAAAAGAAAAGGGCAAAACATAATGGCGCTCGTTTTGAATGCCTTCGGCGAAATAAAATAAAAGGGCCAAAACAGAATGGCGCTCGCTTACAACCCCTCCACACTCGCCTATACGCAAGCGCTCCCAAACGCGCACGTGCTAATTAGTCCCACGGTTTGGCTAATAGCTCCTGGAATTCGTCCCTTCCACTCTTGAAACATGCAGCGAAGGTCAGGACCCTCTTGTTGGGTGGTCTGGAAGTGGTAGCAGGCGCTGGGCAATGGAACACCGAACTGCTCTTGTGTCAGAGCACGGCTTTGTAGGTCCCTCTTTTCTCACGTCACGGGAGAGTGCACTCAAAGTGGTCCCCCCACCCCTTCCAACATACAAACACACACACTCTGTACTCTATTTTTCCCTAAAGCGGATTGCAGCGTATCCTACGAGCTGTCGGAGCAGATCCAGAACTGAAAGCTTACCACGCGCCATTCAGTTCAAGTGCGAACGGGACCAAATGTGAAGAGACCCAGATGCGAAAAAACCGGTTTGGGCGTTTTGAGAAGGTTCAAACGAAAAGTTCCAAAGGAGAATGAGGCAAAACGAGAGCGGGCGAAACGCAAATGGGGGGTTTCGAAATATGCCCTGGCCAGAGTAAATGAGATGGGGAACAGTTTTGTTGACTTCTGTATACTTTCAAGGATGGGACACCATAGTTTCTGCAATCACCAAAACCCGGCTACAGATTGACCGATGATGTATTCTTTGCGACTATGTGGTGGAACCGCAGCCTTTCAGGGGAAAGGTGGCATGTTTTTTCTCACTTCTGCCAAAATAAGTAATATTAGAAATACAAGCTGCAACTGCATTTAACGTTAATATCTTTGCACTGCCCCTTTAAAAGGGAATTTGTGTGAAGCTGCTGGCAGGAAAGACTTTTTTTGAGCACGAGCATTGTCTCAGAACATTTGGCCAGAATTCGAGTTTGGCAGCATGGATTGTGCACAAAGAGTCTGACTGCTTATTAGCCATTCATTTGCATGCCTACTTTGTCATCACAAAAAAGTATTTGGCGGTAAGGAACGATTACTTGAAAGTGGTGATCAAGAGGCGTGTCATTGTAACGGTAAACAGTGTTCAACTTTTTAATTCAATAAGACGGGTCAGAGTGGGCCAATTTTGAATGTTCTACATCCGAGTACACGCTGGACCATGCCTTTGCTCTTGTTTTGAGTTCCTTTGCACTTGTCCGAAGTGTGTTTCATTGAGAATGAGGTGTGGTCTGATATTTTGTAAAGGAGTTCATTGTTGTATTGTTATTTACTCCTATCTATGCAGAAGATGTAAGCTCGCAGAAAGAAAATGTGTAACCGCAATTCCATTTAACGTTTTTTAAAGATGAAGTTGGAAATTTAAGCTCCCTCACTGTTTCAGTTGTTGCTGATCTTGGCACTGAAGTGCGTGCGGAGTGTATCTTAAAGTTTCGACCTTGAAGTCCTGTACCATATGCTATCGTATTTTAGCAATTACCTCGTGGGTGATTGATTGATGAGCACGTGCATGCACTGCAGCACTAATGGGGTATTGTAGTCGAATTCCCACACCACCCAGCAAGTTTTTAAAAAGAACTGACATTGTACCGATGTCCACGTTTGTAAAAGCGTGCAATTCCTTTTCAAGATTGTATTGGCGAAAGGTGTAGAGATCTTGGGACTGACCTAAATAGTTTTGCAGTAAAATGGATAGGTGGGCTTCCTCGTGTCCTCATTTTTTGGCTCTTCGCAAGTTAAATAGTTTTCACTACCCTCTGCACAGGCATTTTCTTAATGATGTATTTATATGACACCTGCTTGGGGGAAGACTTAACTCTGAAAGAAAAAAGAATAAATAAAGCATTATTATTATAGTGTTTCGGTGGTCACAAAATTTCGTTGCTCAGTTTTTTTGGTCCTGACATTTGTTTCAGTGTTGCCTGGCCCTCTGAAAATTTTAAAGTGGAGATGTCATTCAACAAGGTAGAGGGGCTTAGAGCGATAAACTGGCACCTGAAAGTGACCGCCAATTGGCTGCCGCCATGTTGCGCATTTTTGACCACTGGACACGTGACCTTATAGTTTTGCGTCTAGATTTGAACGAAGTACCGCGCACAGATAATATGTTATTGATCTTTATTAGAGGTCTGTTCACACAATGCATCTTTTAGGCACGCAACAGTTTCGCGACACTCCAAGTTTCGCGAAATGTGCTCGTTCACACGTCGATGACATTTAGACTCGCGAAAATAGTTTGGGTGTTGACCATAAAGTGGCGCTTCAGTTGAAAGCCAACATCATCATCATCACCATTAGCCATTCAGCGTCGTGTTCTCCATCTCCTGCCACATTCTAAGAGTCAAAACGCAGGCGAGCTGGTGAACATCATAATTAAGAAATAAAACCTTAAGACAAAGAAACAAAAAGCGACATACACACCACCGTCTTAAAACCAGCACAGCATACAGCTGTCATTTACTTCCATTTACTTAATTTACTCTTAAATTGTCATTTACTAGTTGTTGAATTGTCATTTACTGCCATTTACTTTATTTACTGTTGAATATGTATAATCTGGATGGAGGTTGACAAAGAAGAAGACTGTTGTGGAAGTAAATGAGAGCTGTACGCTGTGCTGGTTTTGAGACGGTACTGTGTACGTCCCTTTTTGTTTCCTTGTTTCAAGGTTTTATTTCTTAATTATGACTAAAAATAGACGCAAATTATCATCATCACCAATTACGTCTTCGTCCATCGCTGGATTTTTTTCCTTCAGTGGTGCTTGACGTGCTTGCGGAAGCGCCGGCAGTATCCACCGTTCGTGGTTTCTGTTTTTTTTCGGATTTGGCTCGGCTACAACACCGGCAGAGAAGTGGTCTTCTCAAACAGCTCGCTCGCCCCTCAAAGGCCACGTGACAGTGTTTCTGAGCGGCCATTGGCGGCGCCCTAAGGGTGATTGACAGGACTCGGCAAAGTTTCAGCAAAAGCTCGTTCCAGGAACGAGGTGTGCGCGCAACTTTTTTAGAGCGCAGCTCTTAGGGGCCCGTTCCCGGCTTGAGCGGCGTCGCCGTCGCCGTAACCAAGGTCATCCCAAGGTCACGTGACCCCCAAGGTCACGTGACCCCTCCAGGTCACGTGACCCCTCCCAAGGTCATCTCAAGGTCACGTGACCCCACGTGACTCCCAAGGTCACGTGACCCCTCGAGGTCACGTGACCCCTCCCAAGGTCATCTCAAGGTCACGTGACTCCAAGACCCCACGTGACCCTTTGAAGGTCACGTGACCCCCAAGTCACGTGACCCCTCTGAGGTCACGTGACCCCCGAGGTCACGTGGTCTCCTCCCCAAGGTCACGTGACCCCTCCCAAGGTCGTCTCAAGGTCACGTGACCCCAAGGTGGCCCCCACGTGACCCCCAGGTCACGTGACCCCTCTGAGGTCACGTGACCCCTCTGAGGTCACGTGACCCCCCGAGGTCACGTGACCCCCATCCCCGAAGTCACGTGACACCCCCCCCCCCCCCGAGGTCACGTGACCGCCCCCCCGGAGCATATTAAAGAATGAGGGGAGGAGGAGGGGTCTACCCTCCCCTCAGTACCCTTCACTCCTCCTCCTCAAGAGCTGCGCTCCAATTCGGCGTTACAGGGATTTGTAAACGGCTTTCACTTTTTAGATGCGCGCATCCTTTTTGGATTCGTTCAGACGGCGCAACCATTTCGCGAAACTACGTTTCGCGACACTAGATGCGCGAGAAAAATGCATCGTGTGAACGGGCCTTAACAGTACCGACGAGATGAGTTATGTTTCGTTTGTTTTAAGTCGAAAATGTGCTTTTACGACAAAAACGCGCGCAGCTTCGCAATGCCTCTGCTAGATGCCGTGAACCGCGGTGCTGTATTTCGGGTTTTTATCGGAGCTAGATACTGATCTTTGGGGCTAACGGTATTGAAGAAATAGTTTGTCATTTTTTTTTACAGTGATCGAAATACAAATCTCGCCTAAATTTTGCATAACAGCCTCAGGATTTTGTACGGTCAAAATTGTACAACATGCTTGGGCTATGATGTCTATTGAGCTGTTGCGTAATGTGTGCTTATTTTTCGCTTGTGTAATACATTTGTAAACACAGCTTCACTTTGGTCTGCTTTGTTGTTATTACGCTGATCTCGTTTGTCTCGAACAAAATCTGCAATTGCTAAATGTGTAATGAGACCTTATTTTGTGGTTTCTCTGAAATAAAAGTTGGCAGTTCAAGCTTCCATAATATTACATTTTTTACAACCCTTGCATATCTCAGTTAAAATAAATGTGCCACTGTCGCAGTACATGTTTAGAGACTTCCTAGCTGCCATCCTGTGCAAGGGTTGGATCTCACTGTAGCAGTTTCGTCGCCAGCAAAGGGTCTAGCAGGTGGACGCGTACATTGCAGCGGTATAGCGGTTTTTGGCGGTGATTGTGTTAGTATCCCAATTCCTGCCTTCCAGGACATTTGGATATATCATATAAGGTGACAAGGTTTCACTGCTGCTGTGTAATGCATGTCACAATACATGGCTGCCTTGACAAAGGGTATCGAAAGAAGACTTGGGAGTCGAGGAATTTTGAACCAACTTCCTTGCACTGTTACTTCTTAGCACTGGCTACTTTGTAGTATGTATTGTGATGTGAAACTTCCTCCTTTTCTTCACCTGGGTAAACGAGGATTTGGAGGGGCCGCAATAGAGCTTTGCACACATGGGGGAACGGTAGCCAAATGATAAGGAAGACGCCGTTTTGAACGGCTGCGTTTTCATGTTCTCCGCTTAAGAAAACAAATCGGCCAAGGTATTACGTCTACTGCTGCTGCTGCTGCTGCTGCTACCGTTTCCCCGATGGATGACTATTGAGCGCCGATAGTTATCCAACCTACTTGTAACCTCATTATTCAGTATTCTGGCATGAAGATCTCGCTGCTCGACCCTACCGAGCTCCGGACTTTCGGGATGCCGAAAGGACATCATTGCCATGGGACAATACCTAATGTCGCATGCCCACATAGAAATGCTTCCAGTCCAGGCTGTGTTATGGAACCGGAAATCGACTACTGCTGGAGCTGGAAATGTATTTTACCAGCCGAATTCCAGGCTGTTTCCACCCAGAAATGGACAAATTTCTTGCTGGAAATTAGATTTTTCCTCATCTAGCTGGGAAACTTCCAAGTGGATCATGTACTTCCAAGCTGGAATTTCTGATTTCCAGCGTGAGCAGCATCCATTTCCAGCTGTAAACAGGAGTTCCAGCTGCTGCTGTATAATTTAGCCGAAAATGTGGCTGGAAATTTTCATTTCCAGCTGTAAGCTGCAGCTTATTTTCATTTGGGTGTCTGGACGCTCGAATGTGCGACTTCCCTCGCGTAAAGCAAGCTCGTCGCCTGCGAAGAGCTAAGGGTGAAAGGACGGAAATGCCTCGTCGTAGACCCTGAGTCAAAAGACGTGAAACTGAGACTTCTCTGGCTGACCCCGCACACGGAAAACCGGAGAGTTGTTGAAGCGCTGGAAGCCTTCGGTACCATGCGCTCTATCATACGAGAGAAGTGGAAATGTGAAGGAACGGAAGATACGGATACCCTCAACGGAGATGTGCAACTGATACTCCAAGACGACATAAGCGTGAGGAAGATTCCTTACCTACTGACTATGTAAATCCCGGAGAAAAGCTCACCGGAGAAAAGCTCACCGGAGAAAAGCTCACCGGAGATAAGCTCACCGGAGATAAGCTCACCTCGAAACCGGCGGATGCGGAGAAAAGCTCACCGGCCATTGAGCGTATGCGGAGAAAAGCTCGCCGATTTTTTTTCTTCTATTTATATGGAGGCTGTTGGATCATGCGTAACATATATTAATTTATTATTATTAAAATTCGTCAACTTTGTAAAAAAGAAAATCTCATTTTTTGTAATATTTCCTAAGCTTATTGTGGATACTGCTACCGAAATAATAATTGCGGGCGAGTGTTTTCTATGGCTTACTCTCTAGGCAACGAAAACCTAACTGAAAACTTTATGAACTTGAAGAACAGGAAAAAGTTTGAAAAATTAATAATGTCTGTCTAAAACCTATAAATCAAAACTGTAAATGCCGAAAATCCGAAAGTGCATACGCAACAACACGGTGCCTGTAATTCCTTTTGGAGCTTTTGTTAACTTTTGAAAACAGGATAAAACAGTCAGTAGGATATCGAGGGTTTCCGGACATTTCATCGAACGCCGTTTCATCGAACGCCGATTCATCGAACGCCGTTTCATCGAATCGCTGACGGCCGTTTCATCGAATGTCTTTTAAATAAAAAGTGTGAAAGATGCTCGTTTATGCACGGATCGAGTGCATTTTCGTGTAATTCACCCATTTCATCGTCAGTTTTTTTCATGACCAAACCTGTAGCTGTTACAATTTATTTTGATGCAAGTAGCCCATGAGAATATTTTTACCGATTTTTATCTTTGTTTCGCACGTTGTGCTTATTTGTTCACTCCCTCTGTATTTACCCGATGGGAGTTGATGTTATTGTAACACATGAATAAAAGTCTCACTCCCGGTAAGAGCGCACTCCAACTCATGGAGGTCAGAAGGCGACTTAGGTTTTGCGCAGGCGCAACAGCTTTAGCCATGTGAGCTTCCTAGCCTCTCATGTCTTTCTATTTATACTTTTTTACTGCCCGAAGCTTGCAGTAGCTAAAGCTGAGGTGCTATTTATAAAACTACAACGAAACATTTTCTTTTTTTTTTTAGTTTTAAGACTTAATAATAATAATAGTAATACCAGGAGGTCTGTGGTGCCGCAGTTACATAAGCGACAAAAAAATGCATAAAAAAAAAAACACTCGGCTGCGTGCTGTTTAGGACCGCAAGTGCGGTATTGCCCCCCTGCAGATGGGTAAGTCAAAAGTAAGTACGTCACTTCAAATGTTATTTGAAAACTTTCGGGGGTTCATGTATTCGTGCGACAGCCATTCACCGTTTCAAATGATGAGCAATTTCTCTCAAAAAATCCCCCACAGCCATGGCCCGTCGGTTCTCA